AAAAAATCATATATGCTATGTTCATGGGATACGAATCAGGATAAAGGAATGTATATTTGTATAGAATGGGCTGGATTTTAAGGAATCACAGAAGCAAATTCTAGTCGCAAATATTTATTGAACAATCAAAATGTCAAATTGATAACCAAAGTCTCTGTCCATTTGATATCTATGAATATAAATATTAACAGCTGGTGTAAACTTTCGATCTAATAAAACTTCTGGTGTTCATAAGGCATGGATCTATAAATATCATCTTATTAAAACATTTGGGTTAGTACACAGCATAAAAGGGCTTCGAGACGAATTTTTTTATTTGTATTTAATCAATTAAAATTTACAAAATTGTATAAAATTTTATTATGCTGATGCGGGCTAAGAAATTTACTGTGAATAAATCATATATTTAGAAATTTGATCCGGTAAAAATCTCAATTTTGATCAAAATGTTTGCTGTGTACTAACCCATTTTCTATTTTTAATAATCCTAGATCTAACAAAATATGAATGTACTCTGAATAAATTTATAAGTAACAGTAATACCTAAATTATTCCTGTTTGCTGTATTCATTGATTGTTTAATTCATATATTATTACAGCAATTACACATTTTCATATAAATTCCTAAACTTTATAAATGAATAATTATTTTAATAAAAATAACCAAGACGAACGGGTCTGAAGTGTAAAGATACCAAATGGCCATATCATCCGACTACAATTAGCAAAATTTCGCTAGCCAATCAAATATAAAAAACATGTGTCACTGAGGATGCGCTGCTGGGGTGTATCCTATCGGTTGATTTACAAACATAGTGCAGATGATATTGTTCTATTCTATTGTTCTATTGTTCTATTTGTTTTTTTTGCTATATTAATATTATTAATTATAATCTAGATGTCAATTTTTTCTATTGATAAAATATTCTAAATTTTATTGTTCTATTCTATTGCTTTATTGTTCTATTCATCTATTGCTGTATTGCTGACAACACTGGTGATTATATATAAATTTTTTTATAACAATATTAACTTATTATAAAAAAATCGATTCATTTCGCCTTTAATTTCTCCCGCAATATTTAACATTTTTAAATTCTATACGTAAAAGCAAGATGTTTAATGAAAAGTGTCCTTATAAAGTAATAACGTCAGGATTTTATATTACTAATTAAAATATGTCACGGCTTACCTGAGTGTTTGCTACGATTTATTGTGTCACATAGTAATTCATTGTCCGGGTTTTCTCATAAATTTAAAGTGCACGTTAAGAGAGCTTCGGCAAATTATTTGTATATGTTTATTGGTTCAAAAGCTATTAATGATTAGATTTTTATAAAAACTCGGCCATCGATTTACTATGTAACCCGCATGTGGCCTGCATTATGTTTGTAAATCGTATGATAGCAGACATCCAGACATATTTCAATTAGCGAAATAAAATTCTAACGTTATTACTTTAGGAAGACACTTTCATTAAACATCTTGCTTCGATTTTTTTATGGAACAAAATTTTATTATAAAAAATTTTATATATGATCATCACTATACATATCATCTGCACTATGTTTGTTAGAATACACCCCAGTGCGCGGCAAAACTATATGCGGTCATATATAGTTTAGATAGTGATCGACAGGTAACAATTTTTAATAGATGCACAGCTCTAACAGTTGGATAAAATTTCACAAAGGCCATTGTTACGTCTCTACAAATAAAGCTATAGAACCATTTCTTGGCACATTTACCAAAAAATATCGAACCGTTAAGGCTGTACACCTATTTAAAATTTCGTAGCAATTATTATAAAATTGTTACTTATCGATCACTATCTAACAAATATTCATTATGGCCACACATATTTTACATAGTATACAGCACACCCAAATGTGTCACCCAAAAATCCAACAAAAAAATCACTTACCGTTACCGTTACTAATTTGGGTGGGGTCTTGAGAATTTATAGTTTTGGCGGCGTGGATGATGAACCAATCAAATCGCAATATATCTCCTTCGAAAGGCTTTAACGAAATTTCTGTAAAAATCTCATTTTTAACGAATTTAGCATTACTTAACACTGATTCAGAGACCACGGAGTCGACACTTTTTAGCGTCATGACAAAGCTACATATTAAGTTAACGAAGATGGACGGAAATTTTTCAGGATAAAATTTAGCCAGTTAAAATTCCGACTTTATGCTACATAATTTTGGTCTATATTGCACAATTAATAATCAAAACGATTTTTCAATCACATGCAAAATCCAAATTTAATCAATCTAATCTTGCGTTGCACATGCCTCCATAAAGTCTCGGAATAAGTAATAGCCAGAATCTGAAAATTTGCTTTTGTCTCGAAATATCGTAAATAATTCTGTATATTGCGCCAAGAGAGCTGACTTGTAATATAAGTAGCAGAATTCGGTTGGCCATACTTCAACATTGTATCTAATGGAAAATATGACTACGTTTGTATTGACGTTAATAATTGTTAAGATTAACGAAAAGTCAGCCAATCTGTCGCACAATTCTAATAACGTATTAATGAAAGCCAATCTGTTCCAATAATGTACGTATTAATATTTTTATACTTGTCCATTTTGACTTAATAACTACAATGGTAAATTCGTTATATTATTTCATCTCTACGTACAGATTTTCGATACGAATGAATGTCTTATTTTCATCTTCAAATCCTGTATAGGAAAAGTCAATACCAAAATCCAGCCAAATTGAAATTGTTTTATTTACCAATTTATAACTTAAAACACACTGAAATTGGTTAATTGATTCGCGCTTAAAGTCTACGTAGACCATAAGAAACATTTGGCCCATATTTGTAGCAATGATTGGATACTAGGGTGAGTGGCACGAAAGCCACTGGCATGCCACCATGGCATGCCAATAATGGCATGCCAATGGCATGCCCGAAACCCAAACCGTCTATAGGCATGCCATTTATATAAGAAGAACCAATTCACATGATAATCAACCAATCAAATTGTAAATTTCGAAAAATGTGTTTCAACCGTTTTAACCGTTCCAACCTTCTCTCTCTATTAGTATTAGCGAGAAAAAAGATCAGGTTCTTGGATCTAAGCCTCGCAATATATAACTAGTTCTAGTCGGTGATTCTGGTTTTCATTCAGGTTATATAATCATTAAAAGCCTGACTACGATTTACATTTTAACTCTTACTAATAAATACTTGAATCACTTACAAAAGTTTATTGATTTATTACTTTTATGCTTTAGACACGTTTATTCTTTCTTATACTTCGTAGATTACAGATTTTTATGAAGTCGTTACTAAACTTTTTTTTTATTTTTTAAATTTGAATTCTAACGGTTTACTTTAGAATACGAACTTGAGACTATTATAAAAATTTTTATTAATTTTTATCAGGGTAAGGCCATACCAACTTAATAAATTGGTTCTTGTAACCCGGCCGGGTCAAATTTACAAACCTTTAAAAAAAATTTTTTTAAGTATATTTACTATCCGGGTGGGTTTTTCTAAAAAATTTCTAAAAAATTTTATATATAAAATTTTTTGAAAATAAAATTAAAAGCCGGGTTGCCGGGTCACTTTCAAAAATTTTATGTTATGAGGACCAAAAAATTAACTTGGCCTGGCCTAATATACCTAAATAAAAAAAATTACATTTCTATAAATCTATTCTAACTAGTATTATATTGAAAGAAGATATTGTCAACTGACCAATCTTCATTAGTACTATTGGTAGGTCGTTGAGAATTAACAACTGAATAGTCTTCAATTATATTCTCTTGATTTCGTTCAAGCATTCCAATATTAAAAAATTGTTCTATTGCTAGTTCATTTTCCATTTCAAGGTTCGTTGCCTCAATGTTAATTTGTGAAAATTCTTCATTAAATTCTTCCTCAAAGAGGTCAATGTTGGCATTTTTGCTATTTATAGAATCTTCAAATATATTCTGATCATTTGCTTTTGGAGATTTTTTTGGCATTTTAGGTAGTCTCTGTTGAAGATTATAGCAAAGCATCCCGAGCATTCCCATTAAAGCAGGAGACATCCTGTTTCGTAATTTTGTCTTGACTAATCCCAAACTAGAAA